GGCCGAGGCCCGGGCCGCCGCCGCCCGCCCGCCCGCCTGCCCCGCAACCTGGATAAGTGCATGCCCCGCCCTCCGGGAGCGGCATTGCTGGGGAAAAGGAGGGGGGGAAGGAAGCCCAGGAGCCCGACGCGGAGCGCGGGTTCCGGGGAGAGGGGGAGGGGGGCGAGGACTACGGGGAGGATGGAGGCGGAGGGAGCCCGGCCGCCTGCAGCCTCGAGAGCCGAGAGGCCGATTACACACGTTCCCGGGATGCGCTGGGAATCGAACCGCCCGGGAGAGCGGCTTCCAGTATAGCGCGGCTGCCGGGTCGGGGACGAGTGAGCCTTCTCCGCCTCGAGGCACGGATACAAGATGGGTTAGCCCTCATTTAACGCTTCTAGAATAAAAGGGCCCTTATTGTGCCATATGCAAAACGGAAGCGTTGCCCAGTTTACTATATGCAAAAGAGAAAGGCCCTCAATGAACGCGCTTTAAAAATTAAAAAAAAAAAGAGAGAGAGCCCCTCCCATTTTCATGCTGGAGCTCTCTCCAAAATGCACACACCGAGTGGCAGGTCTCCCGCCACCTCCTCGCCCTGCTGTGCACTCGGGGCTGAGGAACCTCTGGCTCTCGTGCCCTTTTGCAGAGAGTTGGGTCGTGTTTCTCCAGCCCGGGCACTGGGGCCACGGCGTGCTCCGCTAACGAGGCGGTGTTACAACGAAGCTGAAGCTGGATGGCTAACGGGGCCTGGAGGGAAGAGGCGGGCAAAAGCGCCCCCGCCCCTTCTTCCTCAGTTCTCTGCCTGCCGCTGCATGCAAAGCAGACCCTAATGTATGCATGCAGAGGGAGGGGGGCTCGCGAGCACGTTTCTGATTAAGAGAGGGGGAGGAGAAGAGCGTTGGGCATTATGATACACTGGGTGGAAGGGGCCCGCCGGCGGCGAGCTCTGTGCGCGGGGTTAGTAGGCTGAGGGGGGAGGGGGGAAGGAAGGAGGAGGGTGAGGGCGGGGGATGAATATCCACCCGGTTTACTTTATTGCGGGAAAGAGGGGAGGGCGCCTCAAGCTAGGCGTTAGAAGCCTACAAGGCTGGAAAAGCGGAGAGGGGAGGGAGGGGTTTGTACCGGGAGAACTTGTGTTGACTGAGGCTGGAGGATCGATGCACAGCCTGCAGGCCCCGGGGCAGCCTCCATCCCCCCAGCCGAGGTGGAGTTCGCTGGAAGGTCACGCAGCCTTCCTGGACTCCCGCACGGGTACAGAGCACACCGCTTGTAATATTACAGCCTGGGGCGGCGAATTTGGGAAGGAGGGGGAGGGTCGTGGTGAGCAGGTTGCAATCAGCTCTGGCCCTCTGGAGGGTGCACTGCACGCCTCCAGAGAAGGTCCACGGCCTCCTGGTGCTGAAAACCTACGTCCCTCCGCCGGCGAAACGTTAGTGCAGAGGGAACGGTGGGGTGGGGGCGAGAGGCGAGCAGAGAAAGGGAGGAGACACAGGCAAGCTCCAACTCCCCCAACTCGTCCGGGATCGATCGTCGTTCCAACCGCGCAGGATGGAGCCCAGATGGTTTGCAAAGCGCACACTCACAGCGCACACACAGAACCAGATTCCGTTGTTACATCGCGTGGTTTACTGGGTGCAAAAGGGGTGGGAGTAACGGGAGAGTCTCTTAAGCGGCAGCCCCAAGACTCTGGTAAGGATATAGACACCCCATTGTGGACGGTTTCTCCATTGCAATGTATTTGGCGGTAGGCGCTGGGGGTTTTGCTTCAGTGTAGCTGCTCTGATCAGTTACAGATTGGCGACCACGTGGATTCCCTCATGCATCCTGATTTGTTCACTCTCTCACTCTTTCTCGCTTATTTTTCTTTTGTATTTGCCGCCCCCCCTTCTTTAATATGCATAACGGTCTGCAGAGGTAATAAGCAGGGGACTGAGTGACAGGCTTTACATAACTGTGTCAACAGGATTTCTTCCCGTCCTCCACCCCTGAGAAAACAAACTAGCTGGGTTCTAAGTAACCTCACTTCAAGCTCACTTCATTTGGCACAGGTGGGAGGTCTGCAGGTCGGGTGGGGGCAGCAGGAAGAAGGTCAGTGAAGAATGTATGAAGTCCCCCAGACCCAAGCCACTAGGTAGAAAAACTTGAGAAATCTAGTTTGTCTCTTTGCCTCCAGAACTGGTCCAAAGGAGCCAGAGCAAATCAGATTTTGGTTTATTGTTGGAGCTTTTAAGGCAGAAATGATAGTAACTTACATTTGTTGGGTGCCTTCCATGACCTGAGTGTTTTATGTGCATGCAGTTCTGGCCAGCCCTCTGATTTTACAAATGGGGAAACTGAGGCCTAGGATAATGTCCAAGGTCACACGGCTAGTAAGTAGCAGCACTCAAAGTCTTGGGGGTTTGACACCAATATCCACTAACCATACTGCTGATCCCCAAAGATAAACTATGCCACCTCACACCCATTAGGAGAGCTACTATAAACAAACAAAAAACAAAAACCAGAAAATCAGTGCTGATGAGGATGTAAAGAAATTGGAACACTTGTCGGTGGGAATGTAAAATGGTACTGCTGCTGCTGTGGAAAATAGTAACAAAACATTATGATGGTTCCTCAAAAAATTAAAAATAGAATTATCATGTGATCCAGCAATTCCACTTCTGGATATATACCCAAAAGGATTGAAAGCAGCATCTCAAAGATTTGTAGACCCTTGTTCATCACAGCATTCTTCACAATAGCTAAAACACGGAAACAACTCATGTGTCCATCAACTGACGAATGGGTTACCAAAATGTGGTATATTCATTTACTGGAATATTATTCAGCCTTAAAAAGGAAGGGCAAAAATAGGAAGGAAATTCTGCACTATGCTATAATACAGATGAATCATGGGCACAGCACACCAAGTAAAATCAGCCAGTCACAAAAAGACAAATACCGTATGATTCCACTTGTGTGAGTTACTTAGAGTAATCAAAATCATAGAGACAGAAAGTATGCGGTTGCCAGGGGCTAGGGTGAGGGGAAGGCGGAGTTATTGTTTAATGGGTATAAAGTTTCAGATTTACAAGATGAAAACAGTTATGGGGATGGATGGTGGTGACGACTGTACAATGTGAATGTCTTAAAAACGCATATACTTTATTTTTAAATTTTAATTCAGTTTCTTTTTCTTGAATACCTAATACATTTGTATGGTTAAAAGTTTAAAGAAATTAGGGGCGACTGGGTGCCTCAGTCAGTTAAGTGACGGGTAAACGTCCCACTCTGGATTTCATCTCAGGTCATGATCTCAGGGTCGTGGGATGAGCCCCAAGACAGACTCCATGCTGAGCGTGAAGCCTGCTTAAGATTCTCTCTCCTTCTCTCTCTGCCCCTCCCCCAGCTCATGCTCTCTCTCTCTCTCTCAAAAAAAAAAAAAGTTTCAAGGAATTAAAGTCTTCACTCTTGTTCTGAACTCTCCTCCCCCAGTCATATCACACCTTTTCTTAGGGGCAACTAATGTGATAGTGTCTCAAATAGTCTTCCAGGGAGAGTTTGTGCCTAGACAAGCAAGTGCATATAGAAGTTGTCTCTCATAAATGAGAGTATCGACCACGCTTCCTGGATCTTGCTTGGAAATCTATATCTCGGAAATAATTCCTATTAGTGGATGGCACTTCCTCATTCTTAGGGCCGAGTGGAGTAGATGTTTATTCGCACAGTTGATTTCACCTGTTCTCCAGAGGTGGCCACTTAAGTTGTTTCCAAACTTTTGTGATTTCAAACAATTTTGCAGCGCATTACTTTGGCCATTTGTAATTTTGCAAATGTGCAAATATCTCTGTAGCATAAATTTCTAGACGTGGAATCACTGAGTCAAAACGTATGTACCTTTCAGGGCGCCTGTGTGGCGCAGTCGGTTAAGCATCCGACACTTGACTTCGGCTCAGGTCATGATCTCAGGGTCATGAGACTGAGCCTGACATTGGGCTACGCACTCAGTGCAGAGTCTGCTTGAGATTCTCTCTCTCCCTCTCCTTTTGTCTCTCCCTCACGCTCATGGGCTCTCTCTCTCTCTCTCCCTCGCTCTCTAAAATCAATCAATCTTTTTTTAAAAAAGGTACCATATGTTTGTAATTTTGATAGGATGTTGCCAAGTTATCCCCCATAAAGATTATACTAATTCATAACTCCCACCAGCAACGTTTAAGAGTGCCTCTTTCCCCCCAGCCTTCCAGAAAGGATTTTTAACTTCTTGATCTTTGCCAACCTCATGGAAATGCACATATTTGACCTTTTTTTCCAAGTGACAAAAGGGAAAATTTAAGACAGGAACCCCAAATTGTGCCCCTTTTTGTAAGCTTATGAACTACTTCTGGTTTGAATGGACCTCTAGATGTTCACTCCCTTTCCCCCTCTCTAGAAAGACTTTTCATCACAAACCAGTATTGTGGTGGAACTAACATGGGCTCAGAGTCACCAATCTGGCCTTGAATTGCAGGTCCCATAATTGCAGCTTTG